CGCCGAAGACTGCAACTCTGTAAGGGCGATGCTTCTCTAAGATAGCGTGATAACCCAGATTATTGTCATTCCGTTTTTCTCCCACGCACACAAACAATATTCAGTTCTTTAGGAAAAGGATTATTTTTTCTTCTGGATGCGCGTCGCGCCTCCAAGCTACAAACTCATGCTGTGAGAATAAGTAAAATCTACTCCGACTCTACGATCTGCTTGAGGCTCTGGACAAGCTCACCTGCTTGAAAAGTTTTACATCTTCCCGTTTTTAGGCTGTGGTGGATACACCCTGTAGGTAACACAGCAGAATCACCGTTGCATTTAGGAAAACTTTTCAGGCTGAATTGGTTGAGACACGTCACACATATTCAGCCATCGCCTATCAAAGAAAGCTCTGAATCCATGCTACTGAAACGCTCGAGTAGGATGGACCATGAATTGGCCTTTGCAAATTAAACCGATGGTGCCGTGAGATTTTCCCGCCTTCCTGATTACGTTCCTTGTTGTTAAAAATAATACAGGCATAACGTGCAATCGATCCCAGTGTTAATCATGTCAATTTCCAGCCAGATTATCCACCACAGTTTGCCCTTGTGTGCCGGCGCGGGTTGGATGAGGTTCGCAAAGTTTTGTCAGCCCCATCACTCCCTCCATGCTCCTGTGTGATGCGCCTATCTCGTCGCAATTCCAAGGTGTGGGTTTATCGTTTTTGGTAGTTTTCCCTAGGACGTGAGCCCTTCGCACTAATCCTCCACCACCATCACTTACTAGAGAATTCTTTTTTCGTGGTTGTATGGCAGCTAGGCACCAGTGGTGTAATCCCGTCAACGACGATGATGATACTGATTGAGCTGTCAGCTTCGTCGGTCACTGTTACGGATTACTTGTTTCAAGTTGACTGATTGGATTAACAGTGACACAGTATGCAAATTTATATTTGAAAAGTGCAATAACGGTATTTCCTGTGTTTTGTTCTCGGTCTGAACTCTTCAAGCTAGCGTCTCCGTCAAAACAACCAGCAAAAGTGCACAATGTGTCGAAAACACGTACGACGCATCGTATACAAAGTGCGTACACTTTGTACACTGTGTACACTTTTCAAACGCCTGGCAACCAGCATTCAGCGGATACTCGATCATGATTGGCTGTTAGATCCATATTTCAGGCCAATCAGAGGTCGCTTTGATGTTGGACCGGCACTCGGCCCGATCTGACCAGTCGCCTACGGGATAGGGTTCTTGGCCATAGCAGCACCTAATTGCGAGTGGTAAAGCTTTTTCGGTGTGGAATTCCGCCTAACAGAAGGTGTGCGCAAAATGCGCACCCAATACACAATTTTCGCCTGTTGGGTCATGTTTTTCGAATCTCTAGAAAGCGGCTTCCACAGTGGTTTTTTTCCGATAACCTGAGAGAGGGAGCCGATGTCTTGACGTGACTCGCGATGATAATGACGTTGTTGGTGATGCTGTTGATGACAGTTTCTCGTACAAACTATGTATTCGGAGTCCCAAATAAGTATTTTCATACACTTCCTGATTTGAATGTCTGTTTTACTTCGGGGCCACTTTAGATTGCCAAGTTTCTCTTTTCATTCTAAGACCTCTCTTGCATGTCTTTCGGAGGACGTGACCAACTTATTTGCCACTGGTAATAGCCGGAGTTCTTTGGCGGCCTTCAAATATCTCGATTGATTGGGCAGTCTGAAGACATCGATGGAGTAGACTGATTGACATTTTGGAGGTCAGGATATTTAGGTATGCGGAACCAAAGAAGGAAACGTGGAGAGGAGGTACACAGAAGGAGGAGTTAGTGTTCACGGCATCTGCAAAGCTGCCGAATCTAGTCCGGTTAAAGGGGCCACAGTTAAGAAATCATGTGTAGATTGTCATACTAGACAGCTTGTTTCAAGGGTTCCAGATCGGCGTACAGGAGTCTAACAACTTAAACTGGCGAGGAAAGTGTGCGGATATATTTAGAATAGCTGGTTAAAACTTGGTTTCGAGTTGGAGCTGCTAATAAAAATCGCTATCTCCAGTAATCTATTCTCACCAGCTAAATTATTTCTGTGTCTGGTGGCTGTAGGCATGTAGGCGCTACTGAGATGAGTGGATGGATGGATGTGCTGCCCAGTTACCAAGTGCAATTAGAACTCCTCCCTTTTGGTCGGTGATTTTAGTATTGAACTGATAAGCCATTTCTCGGGTAAACACTTCGTCGCCCATGTTTTCTTACTGACTTCATACTATATATTCGGCTTCACTTTGCTCACATTAGTGAAACACCTTGGCCTCTTGAGTGCAATCGTAGTGGGATCAGTAACTAGTCCGTGACGGCACTGTATCACAGCCACACAATAGTGTGTTGCTCCGATCGTTTCGTGCCTATGCAGAGTTTTCCCTCCCTCATAAACTCGTAAAGTATGCGCCGAAAAGTAGACCAATTTCATGGACTGAATGTTTGCTTGTTCATATTCTACATACACGCAGACTGGACTGTGGTCAAGTCAGAAATTCCGCTGGCAGAGGTCACTGCAGATTGGCCTCTCATGAATCTTGGACTGATTTCATACAGCCAATTATCGGCTTGAAAACGATGTTTAGCGGTTTCATTGACAAATCCCTCAGGGGTTCCTGAACGGATTTTGGTGTGAATTTGAAATATGTGGCTTGCAACAATTTTCTTTTGAGCTTCGTCCCAGCGCTTACGGGCAGTGTACCCGGGTTGATAGTTTATCTGTCTCTTCCCCTAATGACATGAACTTTGTAATCATTCTGCCTACCGCCGGTGGATTGGATAAGTCATCCAGTCATCACATTTTTAGCCGTGATGACCAACGAAATGGTGCATCAGCTCTTCACCTTAAGTGACATGGCATGACGCCACAACAACTCGTTCGTTTTGTCCTATACTTACGCCGCATCGAGTCAGTTCAACTCTCTATAACCCGCTGGGTGTTAGTGACATCTGAGTCATTTGGTTGTCTTCACCTGGGAACCACTGCGCAGCCAGTCCCTTCACATACCACACGTGTTAAGAACGCCCAGCTCCGTATCCTGACCTGATGACATAATTGGTCTTTGGTTCTGTTCTGTCAACCACCCAGCTGACGGTACTACGCGATGGCCGATGTGGCATGGGAGTGTTGTTAGCTGTAAATGTGATGGTTGTATATGTACTGGGATACTGCCAGGGCACCCACACCTGGACAGGAGGACGACTAGTGTCCTCAACCAAAGCCTTTGACTCAAAAGCCTAACTGCAAGGCAGCGGTGTTGGGCCGAAAACGCAAGTACGTAACCCTGACCCGTGAGCATCAAGCGAGCTTTCGGCCGGGTTAAGGCTGCATTCACCACAGCTTCAGTTGTTACAGTAAAGTTATACACACAGACGATCTTGTTCCTCATATTTAACTTCCATACTTCCAGTTGTAAGACATTTTGACTGCTGCAATCAACTGGACAAGAAAAGACAAAAATATGGCTACGGGTGTGAAGTGCCTTACTAGGAGACTCGCCTCACTTGGAAGATGGCTTATTTTCAGGTGACAGGGTCCTCACCTGCCTTTTCTAGCTTCATTGAAGCAGGGACTTCGATGTATTTCGCAAAGTGAAGATGCGAGGTAGCTTTCTGCAGAACGTCGTCCTACTTACCCGATGGGTAAAGCAAATTACACAATATGGTTCGAGAAGCTTGTAACTCTGCAGAAATGGTGTTTATACCCAAGGTGGGGACTTGGATAATTGTTGTATCTCATTGAAAATGCAAGCAAAACTCCCGTGTCCAGGTCGAAAAGCCGCCTTTTCTCTTGACAATAGTCACGAATCTGTTTTTCAATTCTCGGATTGATAAATCGGATCCCTGAGCTTCGTTTTGTATAAATAGCTGTATTAGTGAGGTCACTTTCGAAAAACAGGAGACGCCACTTCTGTCGCGTTCCTCAAGCCGCTTGGGACGAGCTCGTATGTTCCAATTTTCGCTCTTCGGTATGTGGTGATCCTGACGTAGTAGTATGCAAACTTTGGGAGTTGCACTTAACCATAGGACTAAAAGCGCTTTAACAGAATGAATCATAGTAAACAGACGTCTTTGTGTTGTACGGTTGTGTGATCCAATTAGGATCAATGGAAGTCAGTTCGGTAAACGTTTTTTTATTTCTCGTATCAGTGTACGTTCCGACAGATTGCAGTTCTGCGTATAAGGACTTGTTTTAGCCGGATTCTATCGTTGCTGCTTCGGTCTGCAAGAAGAACGGATATAGTAATCCTGGTGGATGATTGAACACCCAAGTTAGAATAAGCTCTGAAGAAACCAAGTTAGGTGGTACTGACAATGAGCAGCGACTTTTTCAGTTGTTTGGTCTGTTCCAGACCAATACGAACCTCCAGCACAATCACTCACACCGAGTTACTTGGAGGCCACTCAGCTCAAACCAGTCCTGGACGCTGCAAGGCTTACTGAGATCGATATTTGAGATACTGAACTATTGTTGTGATTAGGTAGTATTGCAAGTTGCTCAATAAGTTTTGGCCGATCTTTGTTTATTACATATTATAACAAGCAAGAAATAGTAATCATATAGCTGTAGCATTATTTTGGTGCCTATCTGCCATGCCAACGGAAGGAGGCACGAGGGCTGAGATACTGTCAGGTTGCCCAAGCCTAGACGCAAGCAGTCGAGGTGCTGAGGTTAGGATCGAACCATGAACCTTCCTGTCCGTAAGCTGGCGCCTTAACCACTGAGCTATCTCGAGCTGTAAAATTGCAGAACTCTAAGATGTTATTATTTTTCCCTTTATTCTGCAGTATGTTATGTATTTGTTGTGCAAATGGAAAAGACTCGCGGTTTTCACCATTGTCTATACTTCTTCCTCATTTATTCAGTCCAGACTTTGCCTAACTGCCGGCTCGCTCCTCTGAAGACAGATAGGTCTAAAATTTGTCTCCAACTCTACCGTTGTTTCCAATCAAAGCTACTGTTTGACTCTACTGTTTAATTTCGTTTGCAGCTGTATACGCAACATACCAACGCGGATCGACTCAAGGCGTCTTCCACACACATATCGGATGATAAAGCTACGCGATCTCGACGTACGTGTGCGACAACAAAGAGACGAACCAAGGCGCATTACAACAGGGCTGTAAGTTCTACCTGCCGTCTACTTATCCAAACTCTGCGTGTTTCTTTTCTCATACAAAGTAACAGATAGAATTCACCTTGCAAACTTCACAATCGTTCAATCAAATGAGTCGATATGCGTGTGCCCTGATAGGAGTGGACTTTGCCGTGCGTGTGGTAGGGCTTTCACTCACCCTATGGTAGCCGAAACTAGGCCAGAACTATTTCGTTTTCAACTTTTATATGATCCACTTTTTGTTGGTTTGGAAAGCGTACTGGTCACTTGGTTTCAAGTTCCACATTCGTTCTTTAAACCGTGTACCAATGCGCCTTCTCGTTTTGGCTTCTGACGGCATTGGGATCATCTACCGACTGGGCAAGGTCTCCTTGAAGAAAATATACCACAATATCTCGAATATCATACATACTAAAATGCGAGGTGTCCTTTGTGCAGCGCGTTTAGTTGAAGAATATCATAAACTAGAGGTCCAACCGGAATTCAGTTGAGTCTCCTCCGTTAAGGCCCGATTTGTGCGAAAGTGGGAGTATTTGGCGAGCAAAAAACACCGTATCACTGCAGCAATCGCTTTTTCGATCGTCCGTGTCTGAAGTAGCAATTCAGTTTCTCATTCATTTGTTGCAACAGAGGAAATGTTCTAACAACTTACTTTTCACTCGTCCGATTTGGTTCATGTGCTGCACGTCTTATTGATTAAGACGACTCCACTAACGATCCCATAACAGTACACTTGTGTTGTTTTCACAAAGTATGCAACGAACTCGGTGAGCGCGTGTCCGGGCGCACACGTTTGTGCTGGTGCACATGATTGACCTGCAAAGTCTGGTCCGTATAGACAGACCTTGATTCACGAACCCGTACTACTTAGATAACAATGATGGGGGCGGTTGATCTGGTGATCGTTGCGGAAAGTGTGCGACAACATTATTAACGAACTTTTGCTCACCTTATCATTCTTTTGCTCGGCACTAAGCTGCTAATTATGTTGCATACTATTCATCTGTTTTAAGCGTGCTGTGTTCACCAATTGGTTATGAGGAACGCCAAGCAAAATTATCAACCGGTACTCTTCACCCAGCCGGAAGTATTCTGTTGAGGTCGATTTCGGACCTTAGACTAAAGAATCCATAAATCAAACCATACCTTCCAAATTCTTGATTCAAATGAAGTCAGATGCAATCAGGTCTAGCTCGCGAATTCTGATGAGCAAGAATGGTGTCCTAGACAATGATGTGTCTCTCTGACTCTGCTACGCCACCCGAAGGTTGCACGAGGGCTGGGATACTGTCAGGTTGCCCAAGCCTAGACAGGGGAAGTCGAGAGGCAGAGGTCAGGTTCGAACCACGGACCTTCCGGTCAGTAAATTCGGCCATCTCACCCTCTCCCTCTGACTCTGGTTGCCATGTATTTTGAGGTTTCTTATGTCGCGCTAAAAGTGACCTAGGCCATTTAGGTCACCCAGATCGCACTTTGCCTCATTACCCAGCATTACTTTTTCACTTACGACCCCACTCGAATACGTGCGTTGGAAATGCGTTTCAGTCAGTCATCATTTTGGACGAAGTCAGAGCACTTACTGGATGCGCCTGACCTTCACGTTCAAATTTACTGGCCTTTTGCTATCCGAACTACTTGTCACCTGGTTAAATACGATCAACAGAGGCTTGCTTTGAGAGGCCTTCTGCAATAATCGTGCGCTTTTAGACGATACCCAGTGGCTCCTCCGTCATCTCTATCTGGCCATCCGCTGCTCATTTGAGCATTTTTGCAGACACAAATTTTCCCTATCTGCAGTTATCATTCTCCCCTATTTCAAGGAACGTAAATGGACAGTGGTCTCATTCAGATCGGAGACACCTCACCAGTGTGCGTTAACCAGTGGTTGAAGTTGTGGGTATGATGCATGTCGAGTTGAGCTAGGGTTGTCCACTGAGTGGATAATTTAAAGTGACCCTAAAATGTTCCGTACCCTGTTGAACTTTGAAAACTTCAGTTTCTTATGTTGGGTGGGAATGGGGATGATAAAAAACAACAGGTGGCCTTCATAGCGCTTCGGACAAGATATAATTTGAGACATAAGATTTACCCTTGATTCTAGTTACGCTAGATTATGTGATCAGGTTGGTTCCATGGGCTTCTTTACAGTTCATTCAAATCTTACGCCTTGCTTTAGTTTTTCCCGCTGCCCATATGTTCGGTTTACTTCACCATAATTTCTCGCCTGTTGTCCAAATAAAACTTAGTCACATTCTACGCCATCCCCTTTTTGCGATCCGATGAATCTTCTAAACTTCGTAGCTTCTCCCGATTCACTGTTCTCTCTCCCAGGTTGTCCTTTCCTTCGCTTTTATGCCCATGTTATTGCAATTTTGCCTGGGACCCACCATGTAGCGCGTCATTTTCCGAAGTGGCGCTTTTCTATGTGGATTAACTGGATGTGCATCTGTAGAGGTGGTTCCATTACCTCGGTCCCGGAAAAGCCGTTGTTGTGCATTCTGTGTGAGTGTATGTCTGGCGACTATCGGCTATGTTCAGATGATGTGTAATCCTGCGAAAAACATGCGTACTTTTCGATTGACCAATACTGAAAGTAAATGATCATGCCGCTGCTGGAGGTATGCTTTTTTGAGGGATGTCTTTCATGAAATAGAGAAGTTCATCATTACAGACCTTTGTGCAAACGATAAACAACAAAAGTGCAACAGCAGACGGTAAATCTTGCATAAGGACCTTGTCGGCATTTACCTACACATCTGTAAGGAAAGGCTGAAGAGTGCTATTTCTCCTGCCTAATTCAGAGTGGTGGAAGCAGATAGGGGCATTAAGGAGATTACGAAAGGTTTAGGTGCTGTTGGTGCTACTGGCCTTCGAGGATGGAGACCGCATGACCCCACTGTGCCTGGTTGAGGACGCTGCAAAATGTGGCTACTAATCGATGTCAATGGCGTTCTTGTTATCAGTTGTCAGTTTCTATCCATATTGCCTGAAAAAGTGTATTGAGGTGTGGTAAGCTAGCGCTAAGTCCATTCCCCGTCCACCTTTATTCTTTTCTTCATAATAAGGCTTTCAAATAAATCACAGTTGTACGCACACGGGGTGTCAGTGTTGAACACTGATGTTACGCTGTCGATAACGGTTAGACGAGTCCTGAGCCGAGAACCAAATTTACATGAGACCGCATTATGAAAATCATATGTGCCTATTTGTGTATAGTATGAATACATGCATACGTGCGTACACATACGCACACTGGAAGTTTAGTTTTGATCTCATGTAAAATATCGATTCTGTTTCATCAAGTTTTTAGGCGAAAAGGAGGTGGTAACTGACCTCCACATATTGTCTGAATCTGTGCGAACTAGTTTTATGGTCAATTTTGTGAACACAGTTGGGTTAACTTCCACTCGTCCCCTGCTCTCGATGTTAATAAGCTTGAATACATAACTTAATCGTCCTTAATCCCTCTATGCGTCAACTTGGAAAAAGTCAGTCGCTTTGCATCGTAATTGGTTTTGCACACAACTACGTATTTATTAACCTTACAACAGATGTACCTAACGATGATGTGTTTAGCCGACCTGATTAGCGCTTGCAATCTAGTAGTGGTTGCTGTCCAGTTGACTTTGGTGACCCAGAAACTGACTTTTTGACAAAATATTGTAACACTGCTATCGACCATGTGAGATGACGCAGTGTTTGAGCCCTCAACTCATGATGGTTAGAAGTCTCTTCTCACTCACGCTGGTCTTGTGACATTTCACACAGCCGAGTGTATGGCGTTTCCATGTTTCACAAGTGATTTTTCCACACTAATAGACAAGTATCAGATTTTTTGAATGCGTCATCGACATATGGCGGCGCCGCTCATATTTTACTATTTTAGTAGCCTGTAACAGCAGCAGTCTTGAATGATCTGGTAATAACACTCGAACGAACAAAATATGAGTGGAATTCCCGGCCTTCAAAACATCAGGTTTACGGGCTATACTTTCATACTGAACCCTCATTAAAAATTGCACCTCATCGGCGATTAATATCAATAATGCACAAGTCTTTACCACGCATACAGCTATTGAAAGGCAGCTCTCTGCCTTCATGTTTCATATTTAAGCACATCACTCATTACTGGAAAGAAGAGGTGGTTCTCAAGACACAATGTCTTCTACTGCGTTCTCCCTCATCATCATTGACAGCGTGACATCAGTGTTCAACACCGATGCTTCACTGCCGTACAACTATGATTTGTTTGAAAGCCTTATTGTAAAGAAAAGAGACCGGGGAAGGACTTAGTGCTAGCTTACCACAATCATTCCGAGGTGCCTATACCTCCAGGCATTCACTCATGCGATCTGGATAGAAACTGACAACAAGAACGCCACTGACGTCGGTTCGCAGCCATATCTTGTAGTGTCTCCAACCAGGCACAGTGAGAATCACGCGGTCCCCATCCTGGAAGGCGAGTAGCACCGACAGCACCCAAGCGTTTCGTGATCTCCTTCATACTCCTCTGCCAACTCAAGGGTTGGCCACCTCTCTGTTTACGCCACTCTGAATTGGGCATGGAAAACAGCACTCTCTTCGGCAAACGATGGTTCGGCATATGCAACACGTCCCAACCAACGCAGCTTCTGGTGCTGAACACATTCTTCGTGGAAATGATTCCCTCGAAGGCACGTAGAAAACAGTTTGTGGTGTCTGAAGTCACTGTTTGCTTTTCATTCGTTTTGATTACTTGTTGGCTTGGATAGTAATGTGCTATCCTGAACCTGGCTACATTGGCCGATAATTGGGCCATCGACCCATGTACCACAACACTTGTCGGGATATTATTTGTTGCTTATGTGGTCGTTGGTCTGTTCGCCGAGCTTGGCACTCGACTTGCAAACGTTTCGTCACCATCACCATTAATGCGCATTTGCGTGGATACTTTCTCTTTGGCTGCGTGCGTCTTTATGGCTTTTAGGGATTATCTGTTATCTCTTAACTTGATTGGCCAATTAGGA